ATACACATCAAATTTCATGATGAATTTCAATTTCAAACTCTTTGTAATTATTAGAATACTTGAGACACTGATATGGTGAGAGGAGTGGCTTGATATAAACGAATATAGTGCTACTGTCTCCTATGTACGCCTTAACGAGCACGAGAAGACCTCTTTTATGAAACCGGATGGTGTTAGTTAAGTTTACTGTAGTTAATATATATAATTTCTTTTCTGAAAATTTATAAAACGAACGCAAACATAAATTGCCTTTCAAAATATACGTGTGCTACCGATTATTTGAAACACCCCCTTAATGCATGCAATTTGGAAGGTATGTAGGTCCTAACCAAAGTGTTGCAAGCATTGACTTTTTATTAGTCCTTTAAAGCCCAGTGTTTGCATTAGTACGGACAACAAGAATCATCTGCAAACATACTCATAAACCGAGTAAAGTCGCTCTGTCCTAGTATATTTTACACTTCTGGATATAAATATGCCCTATAAAAATACGACATACTGCCATGATCCTTAGTAGTCGATGCTTAAACCCAACTTTGGGGATCTTTTCTGTTTGAATGTATAGCACTACCTCGAACATTCGCGGGAATGTTTTCCGGAACCCGACATAAATCAGGAGAAATCGCAGATTGTTGGTATTATTCACTTAAATGTTTGTTTCTGTAGTTTATACCCTACATATTACGCAAAGCATCTTCTCATGGCACTTAAAATTCATTAAAAATTAGACATCAGACGTAAACTTGAAGTAAAGTATCGTCTTATGGGTATTTTTTTACACTAACACATTTAAGAAGAGGTATACTAATGCAACCCCTATACCAATACACTGGCCACTGTTTTATTTTGCAATCACAGTTAGGTAAAACCAAATAATGAATGGGACTGTAGACGTAATGACGGACATTTTCATTGTCATTGGGCGACGATTAAATCAGACAAACTTAATGTCACAGAAGTCATATAAAGAAGGCTTAATTTAATTAAATGTGTATGTACTGTACGCGGAGGTTTTAGGTAGTCGATCAGGTTGAAATTATGTCAAGACGTACAGAAAAATAAGAAATTTAGAAAATTGTGTGAATTCTGACTAAGTGTGTGAGAGAGAGAGAGAACATGCATGCATACACACATTAAGTATCGTTATTAGTAGTGTGATTCAAGTCAAAAAAATTATAAATTGCTTCAAAAAATAAACATGAACGCTTTTATAAGGTCTTTCGGGGATCTAAAAATCTCATAGATCAGTGAAAAATCGCAGACTTATTAAATTAGGTTCCACTGAGAGTTTTTGGGAATGCACAAGGTTGGTCAACGCAGCACGAATTTCGGCGCATTCTATAGAAAAGCGTGCTATTCCCTATACTCTAGCCTCTTTCTCGTCCTTCATTGTATTGAGAAGTTTTTAGCAATACATGTACGAAAACAAATTTCCATTCTAATATCAGCGGTATTTTATATTTCCGGTGGGTTAGGAAAACTCATGGGATAGAACTCCAACAGAGATCCTTAACTTGCCAAACTAAACGGTAACAGCAAAGTTGATCTACCACCTTAGATATCCCTAGCCCCTAGTTCTGTGGTTAATTTCAGGTTAACTTTAGTTTTAGCTTAGCTTTAGTGTATGATTTAGTTTAATAATTTAATTTTAGATTTTAGTTTAGTTTAGTTTGATACTGCCAAACTTAAATAAATACACTTAAATAGCTATTATATACTAAAGTAGACTAAGTAAACTAAACTAAAACCAAAATTAAACCAATAAACTATACCAATACCGCTGGTCCTGTAAGACAGAATTCTGGGGCTAGACCTATTTAAGATGGTAGACCAACTTTATTGTTACCAACTAAACTACCGCCGTGGTCGCTTGACTGGGTAAGCACATTTCACCAAAAGAAAATCCCCCCAAGTATGGGGTTTTAGGAGCGACTAAACATAAAGCCGGATGTACGAACAGAACAGAAAAGTTGGCCAAGGTTAACTTTGAGGCAAAACTGCTGTCGTGAATAAGGACATATAAGAAGTAATTATAATTTTTTTCTGTAGGGCGAATGTGAAGTATTTGAGAGTTCAGGAATGCATATAAACCAGCATTATTGTGTTTTTACGGTAGTACATCATCGATATCTCCTTAAAGCCAAACATTTAATTAATTGCCTACTTGACCTGCTCCTAACTCCAGGAATACTTGAATGAAATGCAATAGACAGACGCTATCGGAAATCCGGAAAGTATACAAACCTTTCCTTGTCTGCACAAAGGTGCACCGCTAAAGATGGGAAACTCGGATGACCGTTCCCGACTAACATGCTGTTTTCGGCGACTTAGCCATTCATTCTCAGAATGCACGTAAAAAAGACCAAACACTCGAAATTCACTTTTCCAACCACGGAAAATTGATTGCAATAGGAACTATTGTAATCACACAGGAAGCTGCTTTCATTGAGGATTGGGCCGAACGAACACGTCTGTCTTATGTCGCTCCGAACATCAGGTAGCGTAGAGACTAGTAGTGAATAAGGCATGTACCGACGAAGACAAGGACCGAGAACGCAAAAATTTCGGTGCATCGCGCCTTCCCTTAACCATAGGAAAGTGGGCAACAATAGCTTATGTAGCCCCACTCCTTATGCCTAAAACCTGCATGCTTTCCTACGAAAACGGTGGTTATCGGGTTTTATGGGCGGGGAATTAGGAAGCGAAGTGGAATATACTTTAATAAATGCTAAATGCATTTTTATTTTACTGTAT